GCTCGTTCGATCTCCCTCTATATGGTTCTTAATCTATTGAATGATAACTTTAAGTTAACGGTCTCCATTCCATTGGTCATAACTGGTAGAATACGACTGTTCAATATCCTTTTCTTCAGACTTATTGGTATCTTTTTGTTTTTCAACACAACACTAAGTCTTCCTGCTGGGTTATATTATATTTGACGTTACCGATGAGGTTTCGGGTGAAGAAAATAATGTTGATATTGAGAGTTTACCTGGATGTCAACTAAGGGCAGAGTGTCTAGTTAATCGACCGAATCAATCTAATTCAGATGATGATTAGCAGTCATTGATGATGGAGTCACATAACAGTGAAAGTCAATAGCAGACTTTGTTGAACACAAACCTAAGAAATTAAAAAAATTCAAGTACTCAAAACGAGATTTACAATCGAATTTCTGTACATGGATTCCAATTCAATCCGTAAACAATCAGCGTTCACTAGCAACGATATTTAAATTTTTTATGGCTGATATAGTTAAGCAAATTACGGAATATAGTAATACATATGCCCAACAAAAAAATTCTGTATGTGATATATCTACACATGAAATGTTCTGCTTCATTGGTATATTACTGCTTAGTGTTTAGTGGTTATTGCTCTGTTGCTAGAAGAAAAATGTATTGGCAAAATTCTGATGATACAAATAATAAAATAGTTTGTTCAACTAAATCTAGAGATCGATTTCAATATATTATGATAAACATTCACTGCAATGATAACACGTTGCAAACAATTCATCCGTGGAAAGCCCATTTGCTGCGGCTACAAGTTTTGGGTTAAAGCAACAAGACTTGGATATATTATTTATTTTGATCCATACTAGGGAGCATCTTCAACTCTACCACCAAAAAATAGCCATTTAGGTTTAGGGTCAAGTGTTGTTCTCAAATACGCCAATGTTTTACAAAAGATGGAATTTGCGCATTTCATTTGTTTTTTGATAACTACTTCACATTTTTGTCTCTCCTGAAAGAATTTAAGTTCAGAAACATAAAAGGTACAGGTATCATTAGAGTAAATAGTATTCCAGAATGTCTTCTAAAAACAATAAAACAGATGAAAAAACTGGAGAGAGGTGCTTTTGATTATTTCATGGTGGATGATGATAGTATAATATGTAATTGGAATGATAATAGTGTCGTTACTTTTGTAGCGAATGTGTCTACAGTTTTCCCTCTAGATAAAGTATAACGATTTTCACAATCCGAGAAGAAGCATATAAATCAACCAAAGGCCATACAGCTATACAACGAAAACATGGCTGGAGTTGACAGAAGCGACCAAAATATTGCTCAGTATCGAACAACTATACGAGGAAAAAAGTGGTATTTTCCTTTGATATCCCATTGTGTCGATATGGCAGTTCAGAATGCATACCACTTGTAAAAACAGAATGGCGGAAAACTTGACCAGTTAGCATTCCGAAGGGCTATTGCAGTTGAGCTGTTAGAAACGCACAAGCGAACCACCAAAAGGGGACCTTCTAAAGCGCCAAGCAATCAACGGGAACACTCACCTTATGATAGGTTGGATAATTTAGTAATCTATCAAGAACAGCAACGAAGATGCGTACACTGCCATAAAAAGGCAAATTTTATTTATCATAAGTATAGTATTGTCCTTTATCCTAAAGAATGCTTTTATCCACGCTCAATGAATATAAATAGTTTATATCATTTGTACTTGCTAATAAATAATTATATTTGGAAAAAAAAATTTTCATTTAAAGTAACTTATAGTCCTACTATTCTTTTAAAAGAACACAGATATTTTTTTGACAATATTTAACAAGAGTACGTGGTTTTTAGGAGCGATGGGAGGTGAATGTCTTTTGTGCAATTAGAGACAACTAGGTTGTCTTTCTCCACTTTTATGATGGTGACTTAAACTACTGTTTTTTGGTACAAGATATATCAATATACATATTTAAAGGAAACTTAGCTCTTGGTTGAAAACAACCAAAATGTGTTAAAGTTTTAAGTAATCTCATCACAGTGTCACGAGTAGTCACGTAATCGATCTGGAAATCTTTTAGCAAATAAAGCATATTGTTCTAGTGATAGATTTGTCACATTTTAAATTTATATAAAAAGTAAATTTACGCATTTTTCATTGTTTAATTCTAAACGAGCTATTCCTATCACTTTGTTAAAGTGTCAATAATCACAATTAATAATGACAATTATTATTATCTTCAAATATTGCCTGCTAGAATAAAACAATCAAAATCTTACCTTTAACATTAAACGAAAATTATCTCCGATTCTTGTTTTAGCTCCTTTTATATGTAGAGTAATTCCTCTTCTGTTTATGATCTTCAATGTCTGTCTCGACGATCAAAATCAGTACTCAGAACTGTAATTTCTCCAGCGCTACTCATTACAACGTAGTAGTTTCTCTTGAGTTAAAAAATTATAAGAAGGCCTTTTAATTTATTGTCAGTTTTAGAATACTAATGCTCATATTCACAAACCAATTAGTTTTACCTTTTTTCTTCTTAAGTTTCAATTTTTTATGTAGTATCAAGTCATACCGACCTATTGTTACACATAAACACAATAATTATATTTGTTATAGTTGCCTATTGCGATACATGAAATAACTAATTATTATTGGCACATTATTGTGACCAGTACCAGTTGTGAATTCAACAGAACTTATGATGAAAAACCTCTTATGTCAATTGTTTTTATCAGGTGATGAAAAAGACACACAAAGAATAGCAGCGGAATTAAAAAAATTATTTATTTTCATTTTAAAGCATTGTGAACAGTTTTTTTTTTGAGTTTTCACCCTTCACCACTGTGGCGCACCCAGGGGAGTTTTGGGAATTTACCCCCCAGGGCATATAAAGTAAAAAATATATAAAGAATAGTAGGAAAATGTAACACATAATAAAAAACCCAAAATGCTAATTAAATTATTAAATTACCACTTTAAATATGTAGAACACAATAATTATTGTATAAATACACAATAATTAACAATATGTTTCATTATATTTAGATATAGATACCTAATATTAGGCTTAACCTACCTTATAACTTAGACAAAAGTAGACAGAACGAGTCTGTTCCCAAACAGCACAGTACGTTTTGAGTACGTAAAATTTTGTTACTGTACGTACATGATGTAAAATGTACGTTTTAAGTACGTACACTAGGGTACATGTCAGTACGTACAGAAGAGTACGTACTATTACGTCTTAAGTATATACCATGAGAAAGAGGAGCTAAAGCATATTTATTATGTTAGGTTATGTTAACCTAACCTAATTTATTTGGTTACGAATTTTCCACCTCGAGTACAGTTTTGATGCGATAATTCATTGCAAGACAGTTTCATTTTTACTTATTTTTGGTGCTGGTGCTTATGGTGTAGTAAAACCATTTGGTAAACTTTAAGATTCATAAAATAATAAAGATATATTCACCTATGTTTACTTTTATTTACGTAAATTATCATAAGTGTATATAGTATGTAGGTACATAACATGTATATATAGTATGTACTAGGTACATACCTTCAATATGTACTAGGTACGTACCTTCAGTATGTACTAGGTATGTACCATCAATTGGAAAATGTACGTCTTATCTAGTACGTACATTGTACATACTTTATGTTTCATCAGTACGTACTTAGTTTGTCTTTATACGTACTTGTACTTACTAGGTTGCGAGTAGCATGCGCCTACAGGAGTGTATCTGCGGCAGTCTTGTGGACTATCACGGGTTGTGTTCATCTGCATATGTTAGCAATAGAAAAGAGACATCTCTATGCGAGAGGATTGCATTTGACAATAGCTATAAAAAAAAAGAAAGGGAAAGATCAATGGAAAGATGGCAAGAGTGGAACAACAAGGAAGATGTTGCCCAGTGGACCAAGATGCTGATTACGAGCCTAAGGGACTTTGTAGATTGTCTGTTTTAGGGCTTATCTTTATAGGTTCCGAAAGACAGATACAGATAAATGCAGAATCTATAAGAAATGAATGAATGCTACAGAAACGGTCATTGACAGAATAAAAGAAGAAGTTCAAAAAGGTTTGGACACCTATTGAGAATGCCTGACGAACGTTGGCCCCAAAAACTTCACAAATGGAAGCCCCTGGAAGAAGAAAAAGAGGTAGACCTCGACGCTCATGGAATGAAGAAATTAGAAGAGCGATGGAATCGAGAGGTTTGGAGGAGAAGCATGTCTTGTACCGAGAGGATTAGGGGAGGAGAATGGCAATACGGCGATAGCCGTTTCCAAAATGTATTGTATTTACAAGTTGGATTAATGTCAAACGTGAATAAACTTATTTTAACCTTCAATTATGGCTTATTAAAATAAAATTACTTTAAAATACCACAAGACAATAGCTTGAGAACAATAGATAAGAGAATGAAGTGTTCCAAAAATGGCGTCAGCTTTACAGCGGCCACCTCACTTTCGGAGTACGGTACGTGCGACAGTCAAACGCCCACAAGTAAAAAAGGGTGGTTTTAATTGGTAGGCAGGATAATAGATACCTGAATCTTTGGTACTGCTATCTTTAGTACTTTAAATTAAACTAACACCCAAACTTTAGGGACTGAAACTGGAGGTAGCATAAAAAAATTCCAAAATCCCCCTCAGACAAATTATGGGTGCGCCACTGCTTCACCATCGATATTTGAAATAAAAGAAAATTAATTTAAATTCAAAAACTGACTGACATATAAGCTTATAGTGGATAATGAGTTTATATTAAATTCATATCTGACTTTTGGAATAACTTTTACATAAGTATATATTATCATTACTTACTTAAAAGTTAATTTCCGAATACAACGAGACTTGAGAACATAAGATAAGGTAAAATAAAAAAAAACAAATAATCAACATGAGTAGTGACGTATTATACTTAATGTTTTTCGTTTATCTTGTTAGTAAGAAATAGAATATGAGACAAGATAAAGGTATACATAAAATAGTTAAGTCTTCCGACACAATTAGTTTTGCATAATTTTCGAACGCGGCTGTGTCTTCCTTGTGTAAATATTTATTTTTTCAAAAATTTTATTGTTTGTTTTTAAAACATGTCGATGATTGTTATTCCTGGAAACTTTGAAAATGAAGATAATGAAAAGTAAGAAAATTTTCTTTTATATACATCTTGTTTTTATTTTATACACATTTATGATTGTTTCTTGAAATATTTTAACTCTTTCCTGCTATTTGGCTTTGAGTTTGTAAATTTTTACTTGAAAAGTACAATTTTGTTCCAAATGACAATGACTTTAATTCAGATACCTGTATTTTTGCAAACATTTAAGAAACGGAATATATCCACTATTTTTTTGTATTTCTGTCTAGCGCACCAAACCGTATTTGTTCGATTCTACATATTTTTTCAAGTTCAAATATATATTGTTTTAAATTTTCCAAACGACCTGGAAATTTTTGCTAACAAATAATTTATAACAAAAAAAAAATAAATTAAAAAAATAATTTTTTATGCGCCTCTTATCGAAATAAATAGTTTTTCTCTCTTAATAATTTTTTCGAAAATTGCTTTATTTTCGAGTTATTTGCTATTTCTTTTGAAAAATGTCTTAAATAGTAACGTTTGGGATTTTTTAAACTACACTCCGCGTCATAGAACACGGGCCACCCCAAATATTTAAAATATTTTCGAAATTATTATTTATTGCTACAAAATTAAGCATTTATTTTGATGTATATTGAATTAACATTATTTTATTTTTAATGTGTCTTGAGTTATTTAAGTTAAATGGGTTGTTGCGAAAGCAAACCGACCATGTAACTGGATTGAGGATATTCGTAGAACCTATAAAACAAAGCAATTTTGAGAAAAAGTTCTTTACAACTTGATCAATTTTCGAGGAAGCGATTGTTTTGAGAAATGTTTGATATTGTAAAGGGTTCTAATGAGTTTTGAACGCATCTCAGTATTACAGTAGCCGACTTAGTGTGAAGTAGTCTTCAATTAATAACGATGGAGAATTTTCAAAAATCGGTTGAAATTATTGTAACGTTACTGGGAAGTGGATTAAATCAAAGACAAGTTGCAAGATAATTGAATGTTAGTCGTTCGACTGTACAAAGGACCCAGCAACGATTTATTGTCACAGGATCTCACCAACGACGACCTGGTAGGGGTCAAAAAAAGAAAACAACCTAGGGAAGATCGCGTCATCCTTCTTGCTGCATTACGGAATCGGACCCAAACCGCAAGAATGCTTCAAGGCCATTTACAGCAAGCTCAAGGACCAGCAATCAGCCTTTCTACTATTCGGCGAAGATTAAGGGAGCAAGGTTTGACAGCTTGCAGTCCAGCAACGGGACCCTTACTTTCCCCAGCTCACAAAAGTCGAAGACTAGATTTTGCCGGTGAGCACATCAATTGGACAGCAGACGATTGGAAAAAAGTATTGTTTACGGATGAGTGTAGAATGTCTATTTATGGTAAAGACAGACGTAGTAAGGTGTACAGACGAGCTGGAGAACGATTCGCTGGTTGCACTCGGGCACCACGGGTTGCTTTTGGTGGTGGTTCAGTAATGTTTTGGGCAGGTATTTCTTTTGATGCGCATACGGATCTCGTCGTGATCGATAGAGGTGCGTTAACAGCAGTAAGGTACATAACGGAAATCTTACAACATCATGTGATGTCCTATGCTGGATTTATTGGCAACGAATTCCTGTCAATGCAGGATAATGCGAGACCACACACGGCAAGGATAGAAACGGAGTACCTTGACGAGGTTGGTATTCAAAAAATAGACTAGACTGCTTAAAACCCCGATTTAAATCCTATTAAGCATATATGGAGCCTGCTAAAACGTCGCGTTAGGCGTCGCATACCTGATCCAACAACACCTGGAGAGGTCCAGATGGCAGTTATTGAGGAATGGGCCACTTTTCCCCAAAGAGATATCCAAAACGTTATAAATTCCATGCCAAATCGAATGAGGAGTGTTATCCAGAATCGAGGTGGCAAATACCCATTACTGAAAATGGATACCAGCTTTATTTTTAATATACAGTTCAATGTTGTTTTAAAAACTAAGTTGATTTTTTCAATAAATTTCCTATTTTTCTTAAATTTTTTATTTTCGATTAATGTTTTATCATAATGATGAAATTTTATACTAAACGAGTTATTGATTCAAAATACGAAAAAATAAATGCTGAATTTTGTAGCAATAAATAATATTTTCGAAAATATTTTAAATATTTGGGGTGGCCCGTTTTCTATGACGCGGGGTGTATTAAATAAATTACAATTCTACAAAAAGCTTTATAATCATAAAACATGGACCCAAATATTTCGAATATGCATGTCGAGCAGTTTTCCGCTAAGCGTGTTATGATTGCGACGAACAGGCGCGCGGCGCGTGGAAATCTTTATTTAAATTTAAAACATTAATTCAATTCAACATATGTACTTACAATTTATTTAGAAGAAATAAATATTACTTACAACTACTTACAAAACATTACAATTTATTTAAAAAAGAAAATAATTCTAATTATTTTTTAAAGACGTATTATAATTAAAGCAATTAAAATATTTTTTTTGCAATGCCACAATATTGTAAATTTTCTTTCAGTACACTACTACACTCACCGGCACGAAAAACGGAGCACTTGCATTGTTAAAATAAAATCTTAAAATTGTAATTCTCTCACAAACAAACCATACTGTTTAAAGTAATTTCTAATAAAAATTAATTGTTTATCCGAAAAAATGCTTAAAAAAATCAGAAATAAAGAATACACTATTCTTATCATTTTTAAAAGTGCACACGTAGCTGTTGGTATTCTATTGTTATTCTTTTGTTCTTGTTGATGTGAGTAAACTGTCAAGTCGAATCAAGTGCTAAACACACTCTGAAGTTGAATTGCGTTGATTTAATCTCAAGAATTATGGTCGCAAGTCCCGAAACAGCGGCTGCTATTGTTGCGTTGCTTCAAGACGGAAGAAGTGAGCGATATGTTGCTCAAAAGTATCAACTATCCAATAGTACTGTGCACCGTATTTTTACACGTTTCTTGGCAACCCAAACTTATACTAGACGACCTGGAACCGGTCCCCTACAAAGAACTAGTGCCCGTGATGATCGCTTTATCCTCTTACAAAGTCTACGAGATCATCGTGCCACGGCTGTACAAATCCGAAATCAACTTCAGTAAGTCAGAAATACTAACGTAAGTAAACGAACAATTAGACGAAGGATTGGAGAAGCAAATTTAAGCACTCGCAGACCTGCAACAGGCCTACAACTTCTCAGGCGCCATCGAGTTGCTCTGCTTCAGTTTGCGTGAAACCATGCTCATTTTACTGTAAGTAATTGGAGGCATGTTTTATTTACTGATGAGTTCAGGTTTACCTTGCGGTCTCCAGATGGCCTTGAGAGAGTATGCCGAAGATCATATGAGCGTTTTGCAGAATGCATCTTCAGTTCTAGGGTAGGCTATCAAGGAGGCTCAATTATGGTTTGGGCTGGAATTTCTCTAGAGGCACGTACAGAATTGTACTTCGTTCCGAGAGGTTCCATAACAGCTGCCAGGTACATTGATGAAATTCTCCAAGATTTTGTTGTGCCTTATGCTGGTTTTGTTGGAAATGACTTTGTTCTGATGCATGATAACGCCAAGGCTCACAGTACGAGAATCACTCAGTTTTTAAAAGAAATAAACATTCCTGTAATGGATTGGCCAGCATTAGGTCCAGACGCAAACCCAATCGAACATATTTGGGACATGCTTGGGCGAAGTATACGAAGTCGTGTTCCTGCCCCTTTAACCTTAAATTAGTTACAATAAGCCCTTTTAGAGGAATGGGAATTTATTCCTCAAAAGGACACTTCTCATTTGGTTTTAGGCATGCCAAGGAGAATTCAGGCAATAGTTCGAGCACGTGGAGGAATCCATGGACGTATAAACATATATGGACACAGCAATAAGATACCTTTAACACACAATGTGTTAAAGCTTCGATAGAATGTGATGCTTCCGCAATGAGCATAAGCGTGCTTGAATTTTTACTCGCGGGTAATTATTCAGATTTTAAAAATTGGAAGTAGTAATAATGTATAAAAACACGTTCAAAGAATTTTAAAAAAATGAGAGTTTAACTATTAATAAATTACGTCTTTATAGAAAAATTAAAATACAATTTTATTTGCTTTAAAATTAATACAATTAAATATAGTTGAATTCAAGTTATTTTTTTAATAGGTATCAAAATAATGCTACAATAAAAAATCTTTATATTTTCTCCTAAATTTGCTACCTAAATAGTTCGATAGTAAATATTATTTGGAAACCTACATAAAAAAATAAATGAGTTTTATTCATTTCACTAATTTATTTGTATCCATGAAACATATTAAATTAAAAATGTACTAAACAGATCTTTTTTAATCAGATGATGTCTACTTACAATTTAAAAATGTCTACTAATTTCATGAACTCATATCTTACCCATGAACATGAATAAACCCAAGGGTACGCCTATTAAAATGTAAACAAACACGCTTCCTCATTTCCTCATCTTAAATAATGTAAATTGTATGTGCTTACAAATGAAATGAGAGATCGGGATGTAAATATTTCGTTTATTTTATTTCACTTTTCACAAATATCACTCAAAATACAGCCAAAATATCGAAAAACACCTTTTCCTCATCTACTGTAAAAAGTAAACAAACATGGAACAGCATTTGAAGTTTAACGTAGATCCATAAGACAGAGAAATGTAAACAACCGTTGCCATTTATAAATAGTTTTCAGTGCTTCTACATACAAAATAATTGATTGATATCTATTATACGCTATTATTAAATGATAATGCACACTATGTGCACACTTGATATTTTGATTACAATTAAATATAGATTAATATAACCAATAAATTATTATTTTGGTTTGATAGCACCTGTAGAGTATAAAGTACGGAGTAATATTTTCAGCGACTCGCGAATAAGAAATTTTAAAACAAAACGTGACAACAGTTGAAGGTGCTGAGAATGTGACCTACTCAAATAATTTTGACTACACAATTTTATGTAAATAACTGAGTCCATCTGTGTTTATACGTCCATGGAGGAATCATTCATT